GGGCAGTGGCCCCTCTTGGCCCTGATCTAGAACTGCCCTTGACTAGAACAGGTTCATTTAATTTTAAACTCCGGTTTGAGGCTGATGCTGCTTTAACTGGGCAGATCCAAACCAGACAGAAACATCCAGGCCGACCTGAAAGCTGTGAAACCTGTCTGGGTGTAAAGACAGTATCTGCATGGAATCTGCCAAACAAATACGTCCAAATAGTTTAATACATGATGAGAAGAGGAAGGAGGGACTGTGGATTCCTTTGATTTCCAGCAGGCTTCATGTCAGGACTTCACCTCCCATCCTTTGGTTTCACTCTTTGAGTGATTTTTCTTTAGTGACATGAATCTTTGACCAAAGGTCTGCGGATCGTCTGGGCTCCTCTCTGATCTCTGTCCTCTCACGCCCTCCTAACAGCTTTCCCTGGCTGCCATCATCAAGGTCTGCTGGATCAGTTCTGGTCATGAGTTCTGGCGTCAGAAACCTTTTTGATTGTCATGGTAGGACTTTTTCTAACACCTCTCCCAAAACCACCAGCTGTCTGTGTAGATGGAGTCTGATGGTTGTCATGGAAACCAACTTCCTGTTGGCGGTGAGGTAAACATAGGTCCTGGTTCTGAGAGTAGAGGCTGAGAGAAAGGGGCCTGTTCAATGTTACATTTATTTTCCCACAGAAACAGAAATACGTGATTCACTGGTTAGAAGGTAAAAACTGTGAACTACAAAAAATAAAATAAAATACAGATTAAAAAAATTATGCTAATGCAGAAAGTGTTGTTAAATGAAAGGTAGAGATTATACAGCTTCAGGGGGGTGGAGACAGATCTTAGTCCCTGTCTGTACATGTTGGATGCTCCTGCCAAAAATGTTGCAGCAGCTTTGATCACATTTTGATGAATTTAATCTCTGAGCAGAAAGTAGGAAACAAGACAAAGTCAGGTTAGGTTCAATGGGGAGGAGGGAGGGTGGGGTCAGCACCAAGGTACCGAACGGGATGCTCTGTACCACTTATTTTTCTAATACTGTGTAGTACTATAATACGGTGTAGTATTATATTACAGCAGTTTCTATCCAGAACCAGAGGTTCCATTAACCAGATTCCCAGTAACCACTATATTGGCCAAACTAAAGGAAACCTAAACTGGTTTGATGATCTAATCTTAGCTTCTCTTAAAGGAAACCTGATAAACAATAAGTGGCTATAAAATGTTTCACTGACTTTGTCAAGCAAAGCAAGGACAATCGAACAGAGCACACTGCCACCTAGTGTCCACAGCATGCAACACAGTTTCTAATCACTAAATTTGAATACGTTTGTTCATAATAAGAAAACAAGTAGATATATATTTCATTGGTTTTTATTTAATTATGCAGAACTTGTTATCAAAAATTAACTGTTTAAAGGAAAAGTCAGACTCAGAATACAAACTTCTGAAAGTACTTTAAATCTGAAATGATTCCATACTGTTCAATAAATGATCAGTGTTTTTAATTAAGTGTAATTTTCATGTGAATGTGCTTTACTGGAGGCATCCATGTTTGTCAAAGAACACTACTGCCACCTACTGGTTTGTGACGTCACGGTGCGGTATCGGCTGTTGATCAAGTCCCAGTGCTGTATCTGGTGTTTGTCACAACGCGCTATTATCCAAGTCATCTTGAAAACATTCTTCTTCCAAATGTTGGCTACATATTGAGGGTTTTTTCTCTGGCCAGAAGTTCGATGGCAAATCCTCCCTCTTCAAGTTGGCGATCCAACGACCAACCCGTCCGTGGAGGATCAGGAATCAGAAAGGTGGAATAACTCTTTTTTTTCACTTTTACAACATCCAATTGCTCATTCCAAAAAATTTAAATTAAAAACAATCTACTGTATTTTGCTTCAAAGTTTGAAGACGTTTTGTTTCCCATGCACCTGGATGGGAAGCGAAACATCTTCAATTTCTTTTTTGAATTGACTAAGACCTGGATGACTGAGAACCTTCACCAAAACATCCAGCTGCTATGCACGTGGGCATTGTCAGTTTCACTATAGCTCTGGTGAATTTCAATGGTGAAGTCCTCTGGAAATCTTCAATAATTGTTGTTGATTGCAGATGTGTCTAGTAGTTCCCATTGATTTAGCTTGTAAAGCGGGGAGAATGGCGCTAGGCTTACCGCACCGTGACGTCACTGCTGGAAGATGGCAGGAGGGAGGGGCTACTATATTGGACCGCTCCAGACTTATTATTATTATTATTAGAAATTATTGTCTTTATTTTTTTTTTTACCGATTAACACCAAATTCATTAAATCACTCTGAACGTATTAGTTTTAGCTATAAATAATGACCAATTGGTTAATCTTTTCCTTTAAAACAGAAACTCTGAGTGAGAACCAGTAATTAGGAGGATTTAGATGAGATCTGCTGTTGTTGTTTTCCTTGAAATGTTCCCTCATACAGTCTGAGGTCCTTTCAATGAGATGGAAGAAAACCTGCAGCAGAGATGTGAGTCTTCACTGAGCATAAATGGAGAAACACCAACCTGTACCTCCCCTATCAGATAAAACTAACCAATAAATCCATCTATACGCCGATGGATCCTATAGTATAGTCTGTAGCGTAACATTAGTCTGGCTATCTCAGATTTCGAAAAAACTAATGCATTGTCTCATTTCAAGTGCATATTATCTAATTGTCTTATTTTAAGAGTAAAAATAGTTATTTCATTGGCAAATCATCCTGTTTACCTACTCAAAATAAGGGTAAATACACTTAATTTAAGACATTTTCCTTATTTCTAGATCGTTTTTGCAAATTAGAAGGACCACTTATTTTGATGAAAAAGAGCATCCTCCACTATACCTTTAATGAACACTGTACATTCATGGTGTGCCGTAGAGAAAACCATGAAATAAAAAATAGAAAAAATTAATTAAAGATATGAAGTCATGGAGTTACTTGTCAATTCAAGGCCAACAATAAATCCTAAATCCAAAAACCAGAAATAAATCCAGTCATATCCACCCAGTGATGCATACTGAAAAATTATTTAATATATCTCAAATGATGCTAATACTTGGGTCAAATGTTATGTTGTGTTGCTTTATATTTTTTATTCAAATTATTAAAAGATAATGTGTATCCTTTAGTTTATACTAGATTAATATACAATAAAATATATTGTAAACAATGAATTTCTATTATCTGTTTAAGAGCTGCTCCTCTTCTTTAATGTGATTGGTCTGAAATGGACAGTTTAACCAAGCATATCTCGTTGCATATTGCAACACAGGAATACACAATGAGAAGGATAATTAAATCCTTAAACCTAATTTTTATATACAGTGAGTTAAATATTAATATCATATTTTCATCATGTTATTCTCCAAAGGTAAATCAGAGAGAATTCCTACTATTGTGATGCTGGACCAGCCATCTCCAGTGCAGACTCTGTACAGAGTCAGCACGGCCACGGGGACGTTCTTGAAGTCGCTGTAGCTGTATAGGCCTTTGCACGGGAAGTCAGGAGAGCACACTGATCAACACAGAGGCAAAAAAAGAAAGTTTTCCAAGCATTAAAAGAAGCAAAGTTCTGAAAAGTGGATGCTTCAGTACTTATTTAACTGATAATAAAAGTATTATTCAAAACTATTCCCTTAAAGCGAGGCTCTGTTTTTTGCTGTATGATTCCACCCATGTTTGCTGTGCTAATATTCTGGTTATGATTAAACTTGCAAACAGACAAGTGCTACAGGCTTTAAGGTTGCACTTTAAGGTTGTACTCTCCATTAAGATGGGTTGATTAATCACAGAGCTACAGTATTATTATCTAACCTTCCTTTCTTATATAAAATTATTGAAAAAGGGTTGTTAATCTACTGTATAAGAGTTCAAAGTGACCTGTTCATGACCCTAGTGCTGCATTTGATTCAATCAATCACAGTATTTGCTAAGAAAGAAAAACAGAAACAAGCCTTGACAATTAACAGGCATGCATTAGTAGGGTTTAACTAGATCATGCACGAATAATCCTAAATAATCCTAACAATTTTAGTATTATTTTAATCATGTTGGTTGGTTGGGGGGGGACATGTCCCCTGCACTTTTTCAAACGTTCGTTTTGTTGCCCTGCACGTTTTACCAAGCGGAAAACCACAGCTCAAGCTGAAGCCAACCAGTTTAGACTGCCCACCAGCTCCTGATTGGCCCTCTGTCTTTTCTTGTGTGATTTGCTGTCACCATTTTGTCCATTATATGTATATTATATTCATATTTATATATATATATATATATATATATATATATATATATATATATATATATATATATATATATATATATATATATATATATATATACATATATACAGTATGTATATCATATATACAAACTTTGTTTCCAAGCTTGAAGACGTTTAGCTTCCCATCCAGGAAGCATTTTCAATTCAAATGCCAGGAATAGCGTTGAGTTCGAGGTTTTATACGGTAGCCCAACAAAGACTTGTTTTTGTTTTGAAAGTATGCAAATTGGAACAGACGAAGGACCCTTTGGACTGGGGGTCGTTTGGCTTCTTTGTTAGCCTGCAATGCCCCATACCCATCTAAGTGTCTGAAAGGTCAGTTTGTTAAAGGGAATTGTTGGCATGCTAAACAGGCGAGGTCTGCTGCTGTCCTGTAAAGGGGTTGGTGCTGCGATGATAGCAGGAAGGAATCAACTCAATCGCTGCATTGTAGGTTTTTGAAAGCTAAGACCTGAGCCCCCCCCCCTTTAAGGTTGTTTTTTCTCTCTTAATATAGATGACTTCCTTCACGCCTCTCTCAAACCCCCTATTCTCTTTGGCCAAAATGTGCTTTGTCCATAGGGTGTAGATGTACTGCAGAGTACATCTAGAACTTACCGCAGGGCGCTCTTCTGTGTTGGGCCATGCATCTGTGGTGAGGTTGTTTGGTTTCTCCAATACAAAGATCATATCTTATTTGCAGAATGTAAGCTATTGAAGTGAAAAAGAATCTCTAACATAGCCAAGCACAGGTATAATTTAATGCTTTTGAACTGCATCCCTCATTCTGCTTTGAGCTGCAAGATTTCATCCTCGGTGGCGAGTAGGTTGGTCGCTGACTTCCTCTTTGTTTCTTCCAGCTCCCTCTGAACATCCATGAGCCTGGTAAAAACTATAAATTAACAAGGAAGCATTGGAACTACAGTGTTTCATCACAGTAAAAACTCCTCCTAAATATTAAATGTATTGTTTCTGCAGTGACCGAGTCCAGCTGGAGGCGAGTGGAGATCAGCTGAACCTCCATCTTCTTCATGTCGCTCTCATGGGAGCAAGAGAGCTCCCTGATCTGTCTGTCCTTCTCTGCTGAATCCTGCATATGCAAACACATCACCCCAATTAACAGAGGGATGATTGTATTATTAAACTGGATGAAAGCAGCGTAAATGATGACTGGGGACCTGGATGAGCTGCATGCTGATGTCTTCAGTGACAGAGGGCCTCGAAATGAAAAAAACTGTTTCCAAGCCAAGGAAGAAGACGTGTTTTAGGAATGTCAACTCCAGCATACTGACCACCTGATTAAAGAAAAAAGTATTAAGTCATTTTTTAAAAGATCAAGTTTTGTTTTTTTTAAAGAAATCTGCTCCTCAAATAGCCAATGAGAACCCTACCTTCACCTGCAGCAAGGTTTAGGATAGCAAACAGCTGGCCTTGGATCTTGGCAGTGAGCTCAATTAACATCTGTTCAGATTCTGGACGCAGGAAAAACTTAAAACAAAACATTTTCAATAAATGAATGAGTAAATATGTTAGAGGGTTTATTATCATGTAATGTAGCACATGCTCCTCTTTCTGAACCCTCCTGGAAGGCAAGAAACAGTCAACATGTCTGAAAAATAAAAGTTGATTTTGGAAAACAATGCAATAAAAAAATAAAATAAAAGCGTTTACATAATCTGATTTGACAAAGGCTATAAAAACTACCATTTTGCATTAACACAGCCTTTTTTTCCTTTTCTTTTTTTAGCGTCCAGGAGGGATTCTGTAATATTTTTGTAGGGAAGTACTTCTATCCGCCAGGGGGCGGCATACACCCTGAAATATCATTATTATTCGCTTCCAATAAATAAGGAAGAAGAGCGAACACGTTTTATAAACTCAGCAGTGATGATGGCTAAACGACCAAACATCCTGCTAACAGGTAAGATTTGACTTTTTGGTTTGGTTTCCCAAATTATTTATAAAAAGATATCTAAATGTTAAGATCTAGCCGCTTTGGATGTTTATAAATTGAAATATTTTCAGTGATTCACGAAATAAAATAAATTATAATTTTCTCCGTAGCTCATTAAAAGTGTTTGTTTAACATTTAGCAACATAAATGCTGCTTAACCACTTAGAAACACCCATGATTTGAACTCAGGGTTTTTTGTTTTTAGTAAAATCTGAGTTTTGTTGAGGCTGATAAGGCAGGTTGGTGTCTGTGATGATGCCTGATTAAAATACGGAGCTGTAACCAAACGCTTTGTGATTCTTTCCTAAAATGTTTTAAGCTTTAAAAGCCTGATCAGTGCTGGACATGGGTCCAATCAGCAGTCTGCTCCATGGCTGCAGCTCCTTCTGACCCAGACTGAGACCATCCACAGCCTCTGCAGGGATATTTAACTTCCTGGAACAATAACTGTTGTTTTTTAATCTGTTCATCATAAATAGAAGACATAAAAACTAAAACATGTTTAGCTATGTGTACTTTAGTGAAACTTTCTGAAATATTGAACCCTGAGACCCTCATGGCTTATTCTGTCTGAAACTACATCTGAATTAAAGCAAGTTCAGCTCCCAAACTATAAACTGGAAATACAAATTGTTTGTATTTTTATGACAGAAAGGCATTGAGGATTATTTTTCAGGTGGAACCACTATTTTAAATCTCACCATGTCTGATAGATATTATAGGTGATTAAACAAAGAAAAATCATAAAAATATTTAGCCTCTCCAGAATTTATTTCCACAATAAAAGCTGCAGAACACCATGAAAGCCCATTTGAAACTGGATGAACCTCAGACTTTATAGATCCACATCTTGGCTATAAGGCAAGCAAATTTGGACTGAATAAGTTGAAGCATGTTTGTTCAACAAAGGTTTTAGTAGGCAGTGTGCTAGGAGGAAATGGGATTTTGGCATAATGGTCCTGAAAGTTAAAAAAAAAATGAATTTTTCCACTCATAAAAGGGAATCTGGTCAGAAAAATATGCTGATTTACATTATTGGAGACCTTCTGCATGAGGCAAAGCCTTTGCTCCTATGATTTAGCCGTTGGTTCATTGAAATTTACCAATAATATCACCAAACTGAATAGAAAATACGGTTACATCACCTGAAATGGTCGGCTATAAAAGAAAAAGTCTTAGTGAAAAAATTGTTTTGAAACATGTTTTAGAAATTTTAAAGCCCCATTTAAAAGGCGTGTGGATGAAACACCATGTGACTGGACATTTCTATAAATAGATAAACATGAGCAGGTGTCATTTGGGCCCTGAATCGGGCCCGCTGGGCTTAAGAGGTTAAGAATTTTCTTTTTATTTGAAATAATTTAGATGTACCTGTCATGAGAGATGTTGTTTTTTTTTTAATTTTTGTTTTTTTTTTATAAACAAACCATTTGCTCTCAGTGTAGCTTTAAAGGAGTTTATAATATTAGGAGGAACTGATTTTGTTTTGACATCCGCAGGAACACCCGGGGTTGGAAAGACGACCTTAGGGAAGGAGCTGGCAGCGCAGACGGGGTTAACCTACGTCAACATAGGCGATCTGGCAAATGAAGGTGAAATTTATAATGGAAGATATTTTATTTCTGATATCAGAGAGGAGGAAACTTCATTGTTGATCAGCAACTGAACAAGTTTCCAGGTGATCCCTGTATATCTCTCACAGCCTCATGCTGCTTCATTCTGGGTGAAACATCCTAAGAAAAAGAAAAGTGACTAAAGTAATCCAACTGCTGTAACTCCTGAGTGGCTCGATTCATCCGTTTTACTGCAGGATCAACTCTAATGCTACGTTCAGACCGCAAGCAGCAGAGGCAGCAGAAGTAGCTGGTTTACATGCAAAGTTAATGGTTGATGCGGATCAAGATGCAGCAAAAAGTCCTGCAGCGCATCTGAGCAGCTGAAGCAGCGCCACAGGCTTATGACTTTCTGAAGCGGAACACGCTTCAGAAGCAGCAGCTGATTCTGGAGATGGAAAAATTTAACTTTAGCTGATGGATGCTCCGCATCAACCAATCAGAGAAGCTGATCTGGGAGCTGGCAGGGAGTCAGACGCAGCACTGCTGATGCAGAGCGCTATGATCACTCCTCTGAAACAGTTTATTAACGCCTAAATTAACTCAAAATGTAGAAACCTGTCGGCTGTTCAGTTTTATTAATCTGGTGCCTGTTTGGATTACAGCGAATAACAGCGCCCCGCCGGTATGTGGGGGGCTGAGCGGCTCCAACAGAGAAATAATCTTTGAAGGCAGGATGGTAATCTGGATGACTTTCTCACTTAAAAACATTAAAACGACTTTTTACCCGCTGATCACAGCAACTATAGCAAAGCTGCTCTCTGGCATTAAACACAGGAGCAGCAGAAGCATCAGACGCATCTGGACTCATTTTACTGAACATCTGACCGTAATGAGGACGAGCAGCAGAAATGAAGCTGCAGCAGAAGCTTTTTTGCTGCTTCCAGCGCTTGCTGTCTGAACGTAGCAGATGTTTTACTTCAGGATCAACCCTAAAGCTGCCTGATCTCAGCCTAGATACAGGCTGTGGGATTCTAGTATCTAATGGAAACTGAAGCTTCATCTGGTGTTTCTGGTGAGCTTTCCCCTCCATCGTCACTAAACGCACACTCGGTATGAGGGAAGGCGGCAGAGTCAGCAACACATGGCTAGTGACTGTTAACTGTTGCTACTAGGGATGGAATGGTTTATGAAAACCGTCCGAACCGTTCGGTTCGACTGTCTCGGTTCGGTTTGCGTGTGTTTCGTTCGGTTCATGCGCTGCTCCTTTTTCTCATAGGCGAAGCGTTTACACTCCAGAGCAGAAGGTGGCGGTACTGCGACCAAAGCCAACCACCAGTAGTAAACAAGAAGAAGAAGAAGCGAAGCAGCGTAGCCGGGTGTAGCAGAAAAAAATCAGTTGCTGTGGAGAATTGTGTGGGTATGGCGAGTGGGAAAGAACAGGAGTTGGAAGACGCGCCAGCAGCACTTTATAGGTCTGCTGTATGGGACCACTTTGCATTTAGAGTGACCTACGATGACGGCGGAAAGAAAGTTGTGGATAAAAGTGCAACAGTGTGCAAGCATTGTGCAACACGTTTTGTTTATGCTAACAGCAACATGACCAACATGTCAGGCTAACCCTGAAATCCCTCATACTCCGTCAGCGCTCCGCCCCGCTGCGCTCCAGACCGCCTGCTCAAAGCAAAGCCTACAGCCTCCACTGTGGCTCCCGTCCGCTCCACTCTGAGTTCTTTGGAGATCGTAGAGAGCATGCGTGAGATGATTGAATTCAAAGCAGCAAAACATGCGGAAATGATCCATGGTTTCCGCGGATCGTTGAAATTAATGAAAAAATCCCAAATAATTAATGAATTGTAATTATTTTTATAAATTTTTATGGGATTTTGGTGTAACAATCAACATATAACGAACCGTGATCACGAAACCGTGAACCGAACCGAACCGTGGATTTTGTGAACCGTTCCACCCCTAGTTGCTACATGTTCATCCAGGAGGAGCGAATTCTGCAAAGTTACTGATTGGATCTGAAACCGTGTGTGGTTTACTCTTTTAAACAAGATCACGAAAGGAACTGTCGTAGAAATGTAAGATTGAGATTATTAGAAATTCACTGCATTTATTTATCGTTTATAGCCGTCCAAATAAAAAACAAAGCTGTTTTAATTTGCAGTGATAGTGGCGTCGTTACAGAAATTGATCAAAAATGATCAGTTTAGTGAAGGTTTGTGTCTTTAAGTTTAAAATAAGGCGAACAGAGTTAACAGAAATAAAAACCACGATTTAGAGTGATGATAACCAAACAGATTAGCAGTTTAAACCTTTATTGAATATGTAGTTTCAAACATTTATTTTCCTGTTTCAGCTTTTAAGTTTGGTAAATAAAATGTAAAAATGTTGTTTTGTTATTTTCCAAACAAAACAAATGAAAATAGCAAGAGTTTTTTTCTTTTCTTAATGGAAAATCCCAAGAATTAACCATAAACAGAAATTAATCTGATCCTGGATCTGAATAACGAAATGGACCTGAATATGTTTCCTCACTAAGATCGGCCAGATATGTTTGGAATAAAACCTGTGCGTGTCTTTCTCAATCCTTCTCCAGGCAACCTTTACGATGGTTATGATGAAGAGTACCAGTGTCCTGTTTTGGACGAGGACCGGGTGAGTTAAGCTCCGTTTTCACTTTTTAATCCACATTTTTCCTTGTAATCTCTGAAATGTTTTGTTTCTAAAGAGGAAGTAAAGAGAACATCGTCCTTATTGGACATTTTGGAGGTTTTCTTGTTTTATTCCTAAACCAACTCTGATTTAATCCCATCTGCTGCCGTTATTTCTGCGAATTCCTGCTGTTTTCAACATTCGTTTTCAAAGCAGCTAAACCTGCTGAAAGAAACTAGGCTTTAAATCTTCTGTCGTTTAGAGGCTGGTTCCACGTAGGCAAAGAGAAATTTGTTTGATTTCTGGATGCTGGATTTAATCTGGGTTCAGGTGGTGGATGAGCTGGATGCAAAGATGGTGGAAGGCGGCGTGATCGTAGATTACCATGGCTGCGACCTGTTCCCTGAGCGCTGGTTCCACATCGTCGTCGTCCTTCGCACCGACAACACCCAGCTGTACACCCGCCTTGAAGACAGGTACGCTGGTTTATTTAATGTCGTCTTTAAAACCTTGAAGGCCAAGAGATTTTAGATCCTTTTTCCTGTTTTAAGCCTCACATGAAGAGGCCTTTGCATTTCAACAGGTCTAAAAGTTACAATGCTTTTATGGCTCATATTTCAAAATAAAAGTTGAACATGGAGCCCTTAGCAACAGATGCTGGACACGGAGCCCTTAGCAACAGATGCTGGACACGGAGCCCTTAGCAACAGATGCTGGACACGGAGCCCTTAGCAACAGATGCTAGACACTGAGCCCTTAGCAACAGATGCTGGACACTGAGCCCTTAGCAACAGATGCTGGACACGGAGCCCTTAGCAACAGATGCTGGACACGGAGCCCTTAGCATCAGATGCTGGACACGGAGCCCTTAGCAACAGATGCAGAACACGGAGCCCTTAGCAACAGATGCTGAACATGGAGCCCTTAGCAACAGATGCAGAACACGGAGCCCTTAGCATCAGATGCTGGACACGGAGCCCTTAGCAACAGATGCAGAACACGGAGCCCTTAGCATCAGATGCTGGACACGGAGCCCTTAGCATCAGATGCTGGACACGGAGCCCTTAGCATCAGATGCTGGACACGGAGCCCTTAGCAACAGATGCAGAACACGGAGCCCTTAGCATCAGATGCTGGACACGGAGCCCTTAGCAACAGATGCAGAACACGGAGCCCTTAGCATCAGATGCTGGACACGGAGCCCTTAGCATCAGATGCTGGACACGGAGCCCTTAGCAACAGATGCAGAACACGGAGCCCTTAGCATCAGATGCTGGACACGGAGCCCTTAGCATCAGATGCTGGACACGGAGCCCTTAGCATCAGATGCTGGACACGGAGCCCTTAGCATCAGATGCTGGACACGGAGCCCTTAGCATCAGATGCTGGACACGGAGCCCTTAGCATCAGATGCAGAACACGGAGCCCTTAGCATCAGATGCTGGACACGGAGCCCTTAGCATCAGATGCTGGACACGGAGCCCTTAGCATCAGATGCTGGACACGGAGCCCTTAGCATCAGATGCTGGACACGGAGCCCTTAGCATCAGATGCTGGACACGGAGCCCTTAGCAACAGATGCAGAACACGGAGCCCTTAGCAACAGATGCAGAACACGGAGCCCTTAGCAACAGATGCAGAACACGGACATTTTGTTAAGAACAGCTCTAGACAATTTAATTTTTTAAAGTGCAGCCTTGAAAATGGTAAAAAAAAAAATGCATAAAAACAGTAATATAAACATATGAATGTATATTTAAAGTTCTAACATTTCAGACGCTCTGCTGTTCTGGTCAGCAGTGGTCAGGTTACTGGGAACACTGGGTGACTCCTAAAGAGCACAGCTGCACAAACATTTAGTCAGAAACTTTGGGATCAAATGTTTTTTAGGATCGGCTGCTGGATGTCACCAAACATTTGAATCCTTGTGTGCACAAGGCTGCCGTGCTGATTTTTATTCTGAAAATCATTATCGGACTGACGGACAGAGAACTGGACGGAGCTGATCTGCTGATGAATAGAAAGTCATCCTCTGGATTTGTCCCTGTGTTTTTCTTTCAGGGGTTACACAGGGAAGAAACTGCAGGACAACGTTCAGTGTGAGATCTTCCAGACCATTTATGAAGAGGCCATGGAGTCCTACCCTGAGGAGATTGTCCACCAGCTACCAAGCAATACCCCCGAGGACCTGGAGAAAAACCTGGAGCAGCTAATTCAGTGGACTGAGCAGTGGATGAAGGACCATAACTAAACACTCATGATTTAATAGGAATTTATTCTAAGAGATGTATTTTTATAGATCTTTCAAAAAAGAATATTGATGTTTACTCGAGTCCTGTTAGAAACCCATTTAAAGTTACTTGTTTTATTTGCTCCGGTTTCACTTTGATCCGGTTTACAGACGCTGCAGGAACTGAAATCTCTTCCTTCTTTCAGAATCATCTGTTCCTCTGTGTTCAGTGAAGAAATCATGACTCTGTTTCTTGTATTTATTTATACTAATTCGTGGCTTTCTGGATTTTCTGAAATGTTATCATTCAATTATTGCTCTGCAGCACTTTGGTGCAACTCCTCTTAATTCTGCATCAACTTAAAACTTTAAATTCCTCTCTGTCGGTGGGACTGAATAGTTATCAATGCCAAAATATCGTTTGCTTTTTTTACTTTCCTGAAATGTAGAAGTTAACACACATACAATTGTGCAAAAAAACTTATTTGACAAGGTTTTTCTTTTTTTAAACAGCATCTCTCTGGTAATATGACCTATAGAATGGCAAAAAGTGAACTTAAAATGATCTTGAAATAAATGAATCAAATAGAAAATCCCTTTATTGTCCCACAATTGTGGGAAATTGTTGCGTTCCAGCAGCATTACAGCAAAAGTGCTCACACAAATGTGGACCTTAGAAGTGTATAAAAAAAACAAAAATACTGTACTTTACAGTGTTTTTGGCAAAAATAAACACTGTGTATCTGAAAAATATATATTTTTTAATGGTAAAGCTTTACAATACAGCTCCTCTAATAGGTAATACATTTCTAGATATGTTTTTAATCTGTAAACACTTCATTGATTGGTTTTAATTATTCATTAGTGAAAGGTGAACAGAGGACAACTGTCACCAAATCATGAATCTAACATTTCCCTATTTGATCTGCTGTTGCCTATAACCAGAGATGGGAAGTAACGAAGTACTCACTTTCCGTACTTGAGTAAAAGTACAGATACTTGTGTTAAAAAATACTCTGGTAAAAGTGGAAGTACTGATTAAACTTCTTTACTCAAGTAAAAGTAACAAAGTACAGGCTTGTAAATTTACTTAAAGTATAAAAGTAAAAGTAGAAACCACTTTTTTCATGCCGTTGCCTACATTTTAAATGGATGTCTGCCAATAGGACTAGATCTCCGTTGTGTTCATTTTCAATCATCTCGTCGTCCATGCTACTATGCTATCGCCACCGCCACCAAGCTGCAATGATTTGCCGCCAATGAATACCGCCGAATCTGTCGATTCATCTTGTAGTGGTGCGTCAAATGCAACGTAGATTCCCATCCAATTAGATTGAATTTGGTATTGATGACGTGAAAAATAACGGTAACTCCATTGAAATGATTCAAAACTAAAGTAACGAGACAATTTTTTAAAATGTAAGGAGTAGAAAGTACAGATATTTGTGTAAAAATGTAAGGAGTAGAAGTAAAAAGTCGCCATAAAAATAAGTAGTAAAGTAAAGTAAAAATATCAGAAAAATCTATTTGAGTACAGTAACGAAGTATTTGTCCTTCGTTACTTCCCATCTCTGGAAAAGACCTTAATACCTTTGGAACATTAAAAAATATGGATATTTTAATGGCAAAAATGAATGTCAATGTAATAACAAGAAATGCCAAGTTGCCCAAATATCTTAAGAAAAATAACAAAAGTGCTTCTATAAGAAATTCATGAAAAACACTCAGAGAGTGAAAGAAACATTTTTTTTTTTTTTGGTCCAACATAAACTTAGAGGCATTAATGCTGATACTAGACCTTACATTTTTTTTGCTTATACATGTAAATATAATCGTTTATTAACTAGGCTTATTAACTTTTTAACTTTACAATTGGCTTTTTACCTCTTTTCTTGACTTAACTTTTTTTCACTTAATTTACAGTTGGTAATAAATCAGTCAAGGGCTCATTTATATGTCCTGTACTTATATAGCGCCTTTTTTCAAGTCAGGCGACTTGACCAAAGCGTTTTACGCTACATTCATTCCCCATTCACTCACACACACTGATGGTGGCAAGCTACATTGTAGCCACAGCTGCCCTGGGGCTCACTGACAGAAGCAGGGCTGCCGTACACTGGCGCCACCGGGCCCTCTGACCACCATCAGTAGACAATGCAGGTGAAGTGTCTTGCCCAAGGACACAACGACACTGAAAGTCGGAGTCGGGGCTTGAACCGTCAATCCTTCGATTTCAGGGCAAACTCCTACATCCAACGCCACTGTCGCCCCATTTAATTGGTCAAATCCAAGGGCGGAGCTACATGGGGGACCTGGGGTGCTGCCATGGCCACCCTTAGCCAATAAGTGGCCACCCCTACCTTTTTTCCCCCCCTCTAATACAGATGTTGGCAGCAGTAATACTCTCAATCGGAATATTCAAAATTCAGATTCAAATACAGAATTCATGCTCTTTTCAGAACTAGATTTTGCGTTATATGGGGTAAAGAGAAAATGCAAGTCATCTAGGAGTCTTCAGTGGAATAGTAGATAAATAACTAATTTAATAAAAAAATTATTAAATAAATTTTTGTAGATATTATTACTTGCTAATATCAATTTCATACAGAATGATTGTTGATAATAGTAGGTAAGTAATGACAAAAGAAAAGAACTCAAACCTGAAAGAATTGTATCCACTATACCTTTTATTTAAAAATCACGGATGTTTAAATATATGCGTCTATTTGTTAGCAAATGTTGTAGGAAAGTATTGTTTGTCTTTATGTGGATTAAAATGTGGATGTTGTTAATTTTCCCGTTGGAACAGATTGACCCTGAGCTTTATGTGCCTATCCACTTACGGCCACCCCACATTGGTTACCGCTGGGCCACCCTTATAAAAATGTTCTGGCTACGCCTCTGGTCAAATGCCAAAATAAGATGTACAGCCATGTAGCAGCATCTTTGCTGAATGGCTGGATATAGATCTTGTGCTTCTAGAGCTCACTGAGGGAGCCTCTGTGAGGGACCAACGGCGGTAACTTGCCCTATAAAGGGTTAAAGCGTTCGTGGTTCCCACAGGTAAGTTATTCGTTTCTCCAGCAGATGGCGCTGTTTCCCTGCAGTTTCCTGCTCCATCCTGGCAGAAAGCTGTGAGGAAGTAAAGCTTGTTTTCCAGGTTAGAGCCGTTCAGGCTCCGGTGGCCCTCAGATCAAAAACACGCTCCGGATTCACTTGGTACGTTGAATTTTCTCCCCCTTTATACAGCCGGTGCACAGCACTAATTATCTGTAATCAAAATAATCCATTTACTGTTTCCTACTGCGGCTTTAAAGACTCAGTTCTTCCGCTTTCGTAATGATTTCTGTTGCTAAAACAAACTAACAGATTCCACAGACATCGATCCAGAGTCTGGATCAACGCTATAAAGCATTTTCTGCATCTTACAGGGAATTATAGCCTAAAAACAAATGAGTTTATACATTTCAACAGAAATTGGTTACAATTAGGATAAACTAAAGATTATAACGTCAGTTCATGAATAAATATGTTTATAGCCTGAACGCGTAGAGCAACTAAAACCTTAGATCTATTGTAATAAGTTATAATAATGTAATTAACTCACACGACGGTTTGTTTTGGGTTTTAGCAATTATGTTCAATAGAAAAACGACGCTTAAGGGAATGTTTATTTATCAAACAATGTATTTTTGTATTTCACTGATTCCTGAAACGTCGGCAAAAACATGTCCCACTAAGAAAAGTGCTAATTCTGTTGGAAAGAAATAAAATTTTCATGAATAAAAACAATCAAGGTTATAATCAGGGGGTCCTTTGCACAAATGCAAGGTTCTTTTAAAGTTTTTTTATTTTATTGTTAATTTAATGATTATATGCTGGCCCATTGCCTATAAAATCAGTTGTCCTTGGATAGGAGATAATCATTTCAACTTGATTAAAAAAACAAAAAGTAATAATTGAATTGAATAATATCTTTACCAAATGAAAGGGTACATTTTAATATGTATTTAAAACTACAAACAGTGAGTTTTGAACAATAATAACCATTATTTTGTGATTGTTCAAAATGTGTCCCACATATTTGTCACCACCGTCAGATATTTATAAAAAGCAATAAAATCAGGCAACTAAAAGGTCAACTACATGCCTGAGGACCCCATTTTCAAATCTTCAGCTCTACTGGATGCCTTAAGGTCACTCAAGCTCCTGTAGGTTTGCTATTTTCTCTTAAACTTGTTCATATTTTTTGGACACTGCTAATGTCACAACCATAACATGTCAACACCGTCTCTTTTGTATAAAAAATATTAGATTAGATTATGACATAAATGTTTACTTTTTAAGAAGAGGTCTAAAGTAGCTAGCAACAGAGGGGAAACAAGATGGCTAATGTGAACAACTCATGCATATCATGTGAAAGAGTAGGATTTTGTCACCACCGTCAGACGTCACCACCGTCAGATTTTCTGTCTGACGGTGGTGACGCACAGTCTGACGGTGGTGACAAAAAACTACAAATGGTTCTCAATGGAGGCTAGAAAATAATTGTTGATCTGTAATGTTTCATTAACCTCTTTTATATTTTTATTTATGTAATTCCGCCTAGATTTCTTCCATATTGTATAACCCTAGGGGATGGGGTGTGCCTTCCCTGTCTCTCAATTCACTATTATGCCATGTTCATTTGGTTTACATCATTTGGGATGCACATAGTGCACCTACTACCTACCTACATAGCACATAGTATACAATATTCCTTGTAAGCTATGGCAGGGCAACATTTAACCAAATCTAACATTTACTGTAATTCCCCCCAATTTCATAGTCATTACACTCAACTTTGACTTTATGTATTTTAGGAAGTTATGGCTAGGAAGCAGCTATCTGTGAAGGAAAGAAGGAAAAGAAACAGGGAATATCAAAAGAAGTGTGAAGGCCTACTGACAAAAAACCTACATATATTCAAGCAATTACTCAGAAGGTTCAAAATTTCTACCATAATGCAGCACGAATGACAACTGACAAACAGGACACAATCACACGCAAGAAAATAAAGCATCAGAGAATGATTCTGACTGATAATGATATTTCTTAATTGTACCTTATATTCCTTGAAAAATATTTGTCACAGTGCTCATGATTGTTATTTTTTGGACCAAATAGTTAAATAAAGTTAATAAGCAAGAAACCATTGACTTGAATTGTATACAGTTTGGAATTGTATGTTGAAATGAGGCCACTGTCACCACCGTCAGTTCTAAAGTCACCACCGTCAGAGGGCTTTT